GCAGTTAAACTGCTTTTTGGTTACCTGTGCTCTAGTACACTACCACTAAAGTAGGATTTGTGGGGAAAAAATTAAATAAGTTGGAAAACTGCTGAAAAATTTATTCTACATAACTCTCCCAAAAGATTCACAATGGATATTAGCATATAAAAGGCGCTTATCAGTATTTTAGTGAAAAAAATTCGATTTAAATTTAACTAATACAGTGTTTTTTTTTCCAAGCACTGAATTTTTTTTTCAGACAACACTTATTAATGGTCCATGGAATCATTTTGAAAAACTGTTCTCAGCCATCTGCTCTAATTCAGAACTTCTCACTTGCCTCTGGTTTATCTATCTGGAATAGTAGAGGTGTATCATTGAAAAGAGAAAGAGAAGTGGGGATGAAAAAGAATTTAAAAAGTAGAAATGGAGACCCTACATGTAAAATCAACTTTTATGAATTTTCCAGTGGAGTTTAGTACCAGAAGTACTAAAAAGGCCTTCTTTTGGACAATTTTCAAAGCTGTGTTCTGGCTGTGGTGTTAATGTGAAGCTCAGGGTTTTTCATTCTGGTTTGGTTTTGGGTTTTTGACATACTCCAGCCTTCTGGATAGAGCCTATAGAAAAAGGTTATTGTCAGCTCTTGGGTCATGCCTTGCAAAGGCAATTTACTTACCTCTAAAAGAGGCAGTGAAGGAGTAGTTGACTCTGCCCGATCTTGTTGCTTTTCTCTTTTTACCAAATGATAAAGCCTGTGAAGTGGACAGATTCCGCATTGTTTTCCTGGCTTTTGTGTCAAAAGCCATTCATTCAGAAAGTCCTATGCTGGCACCAGAAGATGTAATGAGTTCTTCTGTGCTACCTAAGGATAAGTTACCAGGCAATTGTAAGACCTCTCTGTGCCTTAAATATTTTCATCTGCAAAATTTGAAGTTTACACTAGAATATCTCCAAGATCCATTCTAGTTTTAAAATCCTACAATTATAAGATCATATATTTGACTAGCTAGTTTATCTATAATTTTTAAAATCATACCTAATATTTGGGTTAACAAAACTCAGAACACATGCATTTAGCAAACAGTGTTTGAAGTTGTGAGTGGCTTTCAGGGAAACTAAACCCAGCCTGGATTTAGGTACTGTAGCTTTCAATCTGGCCATTGGTTCCAAATGCTGCAGATGCGTTTTCTACATTTCAGCAATGCCAAAAGACACAGATTTTTTTAAATTTCTTAAAGACTTATTTTTAATTTATTTTTCGAACACCAGCTTTTACACCTCACTCCTACGGAATTCACACATTCTTAAAA